TGGTTATGACACCCCCATACAGTGTCCTCTACAACGTTATGACACCACCATTCAGTGTCTTCACCAACGGTCTGACACGACCATACAGTGTCTCCTATCTTTATTTTATTTTTTATGTATTTTCTTGTTTTGTTCCTCTCTCCAAACTCAAGTTGGTTAGTTTCTATCCTCCTTGAGTTTGCGGGGGGCTGTTAGAATTTACCTACACCTACCACCACCTACTACCACACCTACTACACCTACCACCAATTTACCCTCACCTACTAGGCTACTCCTCACCTACTACCCAAACCCTCTCCTATATAATGAGCTACTCTGATTTGTAATAGAACACAACAATCAATTAATCAATCAATAATACATCTATTTTTCAAAGAGTAAAGATTTTTGAAGGCTTGCAATGTAAGTTTCTAGATAGACTGACTAGCCTTCTGATAAAGGGCTTCCAAATGTATCTTTGCACCTCTGTTATCAGAATCTTACGATTCGCGATTCGATTCATGATTCGATTCGTAATTTTTGCAAAATCGATACGAATCTATAGGTGAATCTATTTTGGAGGTGAATCTCTAGTGAATCGCACGATTCACAATCGATTCACGATTCGATTCACCATTTACGATTCATGCAATTTTTTAAATTATTGTGTCCGACATATTTTTGACTTTTTTTTCTCCATCTTTTTAGTGAAAATGACATAATATAACTTCTAATAGCATTTAATAGCAAGATAACCAACACATATACATGATTTATTATTATTTTAATGATCATGGAATTTTTAATAGAATCCAATTAGATTCAGTCAAATCTAACATATTTATAACATTTCTTCTCATTTTTCCCCCCTAAAAAACGTAATATATCTTCTAAAGATATTTAAGATTAAAATTACACTATGAATTATCCATTTCTATTTTATTAAATTGAATATTGAATGTGTGAGGTCAATTATACCTTTTAAAATGTTTTAGGCTTTAAGATAAAAGATTTTAAATAATTCTTTCTTATTATTTACTTGCTATTACTTAGAAAAGTATGTATACTTATTATCCAAATATCAATATCATTGTTAATTATTGTTACCTTGAAAATTGATAATTTGTCAATTTGGTTATTATCTTTATTAAGAATGGTTGATAAGAAATATCTAAAAAAGAAAAAAGGTAAGATAGTGATTTTATATAGGAACTTTTGTTAACTTCTTACCTATTAAACTACGTGATTGTCATTCAAAATAACATTTTCATTGATTTAAGTCTAATTATTTCATATTCATAAAATATATTTATCATCTAAATGTGTAGATATATGTTTTTAAGTAATTTAAAAAAGTGACCGAATCTTTACGATTCACGATTCGATTCGATTCGCGATTCGATACAAGGCCATTTCGATTCACGATACGAATCCCGATTTGACAACTATGCTTTGCACCCATTTAGCCATTGATCTCAGACAAACAATCAATTACTCAATAACATGAACTTCAACAAAACAAGTGTTTTTTATTTAAATAAATGCTAAGGTGGAAAAATCGAAGAGAATCAAATCCAAAGTCAAATGAGATGGATGCAAAGTATAATAGCTAGATATACATTGTTGGGCCCATTTCCTAATAGTTTAAGCTTTTGGGACTAGTGATGATCTAACACGATATCAAAGCTCAGGCTGGGAGGGCTCGTGTTCAAGTCTATTTGTTTGCATTTATTCTCCATTTGCATTTATTCTAACATGTTTGTTTGCATCTCCACATGCAAGACAGGGTTCCACATGAGGAAGGATGTTGGATAGCTTTATATATGTTGTTAGGTCCATTTTCTAACAATGTATGCTTTTGGGACTAGTGATGATCTAACATTGGGACTAGTGATGATCTAACATTGGGCCCATTTCCTAATAGTTTAAGATTTTGGGACTAGTAATCTAACATCAATAATTGACAAATTTTAAGTGTGTATTTTTTCCTCACATCTTACAACCCAAACCAAAAGCAACAATATAAAACTACCAAAAGGTTTTGCCCTGGATCCTCCAGAGCTAGAAGTCTAAATTACAAATTCAACTAATCTCAGCCTTCTCAGAAAAAATGGACCTATTGAGACTTGGAAATGAAGGAAGAGATGATTAATCATCTTACATTAGTAGACTTGGATCTTACATGTGTGCTCTGAACCTTAAGGTGTACTTAAGATCATCACACTCATAATCTCCTTCCTAACCTGGCTTTTGCTCTCATCTTCACTTTTCCTTTGGTTATTGAGACTGAAAGTAGATGACTAGAAAAAGTATTATTGGTATAGTTATAATGTTTACAAGAAAAGAAATACTATGTGTCTAAGATTTGATTCTAGGTACCATTGGTTGAAAGGATTGAGGAGCATGCATTGCAAAAGCTAACACATACCAACAACGAGTGATTTGTAATGATGACTCCTTTCTCTGCTTCAGTCCTGTGCATGATGCAGTTGTTCAAGATTACACAAATTAATCAAGAAGAAAAAAATGTGAAACTCCAAAACACAAATTAGGTTTGAAAGATTTCATGGAAATTATCATGCCTAATGATTTGACAGTTAACAGCACCTTTGATGGTCAATAAGATAAGTACAAGGAACACACGGTTTGGTGGTGATATGTGTTCCCCAATTGTATAAAAATCAAGGGTGAAGTACAATGAAATTTAGAGAAATGTCAGGAACTCATGATGTTGGACTTGATGAAAACCTAAAACAAAACCTTTAGGCTTTGATGCAAATAATCGTCCAGTATGTGCATTCTTTACATGACTATCAGATAATGAATTATATATTTATTTTTTAATATGAGAATATTCAAAATCTCCAACATTAAAACAACCATGTAAATTCCTATGAAAATAGGGGCTAAAATCTATTTAATTTTGTATAAATTCACAAACTAAACTTCAAGTGGTAGTTCAATTTGGTGATTTCTCATACTATTTGGCTCCACTAAGCCCTTACAACTTACAAGGATAGCACAGCGCTTCCTTTTATTGCTATATGACCAAGCTAGCAACCATGCATCCAAAGCTCATGTTTATCTTATTCTAAAATTTCACCTATCCAAATTATTTGAGCGTTTACCCTACATTAGCTTTGTAGATTCTGATCATAACAAGAGAGAGAACATTGGGTGCATCACTTGGAATATTTTAAGGAATCAAAGTGAATGGAACATTCATTTTTTACATCTAAACGCAATTTTCTTCTCCTCATTGTTGTCTTTGGTGATCATCATACTTAAAAAGCAAGAGATAATTAGCCAGTAAAAAAGAACAAATAGATAACTATTGCGGGTACCACACTGAAAAAGCTAAGGTCAAACCTCCTCTCTTTGTTCAGTAATTAGTTTCCAGAACTAATATTCAAGATCAACTAAACCATAATTCCCAAACTCTCAGACAGAGATTGTAACATATGGGATAAAATGGTTTCTCCTTTCTCAATTAAGCACAGGGGTTCAAATTATCAAATATCTTGACCAAATAAACCAACATCCCCAACTCCCAAGACAAAAATTATAAGAGGCAAGAGAAAAAGTTTTTTTTTTTTTTTCATTTCATTCTGCAATTATCTCAAGCCCCACACCCCTCCCTACCAACCCTTACAAATCAATTAAATTTTGGGGGGACTTACGTGTAAGTCCTAATAGGTACACTTATCGTCCAATAGATCCTATGAATTAATGGCGTTTTTCATCAAACACTTTTAAAAAATGTCACTAATTGTTAATTTTCAGCAACAATTTGAAAATGTCACTAATTATAATTTTTAGCAATAGTTTAAAAAAATCGCCACAAAAAAAGGTAACTAATTTTTAATTTTTAATGACAGTTTGAAAAATTTATTGCAGAAAACGTCACTAAGGGGGTGTTTGGGAAGAAAAAAAATAGCCTAATTTAGGCTAAAATTCACAAAAAGACAAAATAGGCTAAAATTGCTAATAAGACAAATTATCACATCAAACCCATAATCATTTCACTTTTTCTCTCACAAACATCACATCCAACCATAAAAAAATCAAATCATCTTCCCAAACATCCAATCATCCAAACATAAAAAAATCCAATCATCTTCCCAAACACAAAAATTTTAGCCTACTAAAATAGCCAAAAACTAAAATAGCCTACTAAAATAGCAACTTCCCAAACGAAGCCTAATTGTAAGTTTTAACGATAATATATAAAACCGTGACAAAAAAAAGTCACTAATTGTCAAATTTTAGCGACACATGCAAAAAATCGTCACAAAAAATTATTTTTAGTGACGATTTTACTAGAACTTAATTTCAATAGGACTTGATGAGAATTAAGTCCAACTATTAGGACCTACTGGTAGTTTACCCCTAAATTTTTAGTTTCCAAGTCAATAAGTCGTGACCAAGCAGCCTTGTGGTTGCAGGTTCAAGTCACGGGAATCAGTCTCTCCACAAAAAGTGGGGTAAGGCTGCTACCTCTCCTAGACCCTAATGTAAGCGGAAGCCTTGTTCACTGATTAGGCATTTTTTAGTTGCCATGTCAAATAAATATTTTCCAACATAACACACTAATCACAGTCAAGTAGAACTATGAATTCCACGAAATATTTATGTAAGAAATAATGTATAGAGAAAGAGAGAGAATAAATTGTATGTATTATTATTGATTGATATATTGATTGATGTTGTTATATTTATTACAATGATTCATGATTCCTATATATAGAAGAGGGTGAGTGTGTAGTAGGTAAGGAGTAGGTGAAGTGGAGGTGGTAGTGGTGTAGTGGGTTAGGTTTAGTGGAGTAGGTGAGGTGGTAGTGGTGGTAGGTGATGGTAAATTGTAACAATTTACTTCAACTCTTCAGACTAAAGGTCAGAAGCAAGTCCATTGACATGATAACCAAAAGTGTACTTGCATATTGTTCAAGACTAATTTTATAGCACTCATAAAACCTGAATTTCATGAAGCCATGACTGCTGAGCAAGAATATATATCTTATCCTTCCACTTGTTGGGATGAACTAAACAAGAAATAAACACTTATTTCATGTCTAACTCCTAAAGGGCTAAAGTTTTGTAGTACCACTTAAAAGTTGCAGAAGCTGCAGCTAGGCAAAGATAATATTGCTTGTAGTAAGTATCCAAACCAAGTGCTGATGGTTCCTTGGCCGCTAAATTTTTAACCAGCACAGCCCCCTTTAAGGTTGAAATGCAGTGTGAGCCTCACTGAAAATAGAAGAAGAAAGAAAGAAAGAAAATGCAAAAGAAGTTTGGTACTACCTTGGTGTCATCAAAGCAACCACGGGCCATTATGACCTGCAAAAGTTAGAACACATCCACAGATCATAAATCTAGACTTTAGACATTTAAATGCAAATATCGTATGTAAACACACGCTGAGAGAAACACATATGAGCACACACAAACACAGAGAGCTCACCTTCTTAATTGATGAATAAAATCTGTCCACCAGTATTGAGACTCCAACCATTCCATCAGGTGCAAGCTTGCTAGGAGGAACGATAATCACCATTGGATCATAGAAATGCAGCAATGTCTTTGTGTTCTGATATGAACTGCTAGTTTCAATGTATTGAGAAAGATGGAGCGAAGCTGACCTCAAGTCAAAGGCAGCCACTCCAACCTGCACGTAAAATTGGTTGTTGGGCGTGATGAAATTCAAAGGTCATCACAAAACCAAATTGAGATATCAGAAACTCTATTATTGAGAAATGGTAATATAAAAAATAAATAATAAATAATAAAACTATTTAATTCGACTAAATGTACAAAATTCAAGTTATCTTATAAAATGGAAGGAAGAGTCGCTCCAAATATTAAGAACACTCAACTCTCTATTTGGTTCGGCGGAAAACTTTTACTAGAAAATACTTTCTTTAGAAAATGTTTTTCACCTTTCAAAAGTAGAAAATATTATCTGCTCAAATAAGCTAGTTTTCCATTGACCACGGAAAACATTTTCAATTGACTTTCGTTTTTTGTTCTACCAAATGCAAGAAAATGCGGAATTCCATAAAACATTTTCCGACCAAACAAACTGAGAATAAAATTCAAGACAAGGTTTGTGTAGGCTGAAATGCTAATTAATTTGGTACGGCATTAGCCATAATATTAGGTTCTTTTTTTACTTTACATCATATCCCAGTCTATTCATGTGATACCACTAGTTCACCAAATCCACAATCATCTTCACAAAATCTCTCAGAACAAATATTTGAAACCTAACAATCCATCCATAATTCAACAAGTAGCATGCACAGAAAAAAAGAGCAATTCAACAATAATAACCATTGCAACTTTAGTAAACAAATGATTGAAGGACAATGTACATAACTAACCCTAGAACTTGCCCAAACATCGAATCAGCAACAATTATACTGAAATTCAACTATTTCATAACATCTGAACATCAAAAAAAAAAAAAGAATCAAAGCACTGCTATCTTCTTCAATGACCGCTAAACACAAATATTCGAAGTCTAAATCTCGTGAATTTCGGCATACAGAATGTGGAGAGAGAGAGAGAGAGAGAGAGAGAGAGAGATTGAAGATGATACCTCCTTGGCTCTGTTCTCGATCAAACCGACTACGAAGCTCGATATTTCTCCTGCGTCGTCTTCCATTGTTTGTTCTCCACTCAGTAGCGAACACTGATTCTACAAATTTCGAAATGCGCTCCAAACTGTATCCGACTTATATAGAGGTGCTTCCTACTGATTTTTCTACCTTGTTCCGAGTGCGCATGGATGCTTAAAATGTGCACCGGCGTGGGAGGTACGGCACGGTACGGCAGAAGAAAATTAGCGGGAACTTTTTTTTTTTTTTTTTCCTTTAATTAATTTTAATCACTGTGTATGTTTTCATTTTAAATCTTAAATCTGTTAAAGAAAAATAAAACTAATGGGAAACTAAACTAATATATGTATATTCAGTTTTTTAGTAACTAAACAGAAAATGAATTTTTTGACAAATTTCTATACATTTCCTTCTCATTTTCCTAACCTAACCACTCACAAAATTAGAAAAGCCTCTTCTATTTCATAATGTTTTAACTATCAACATAAAACTTTTTGTGGGCAAATAATTGCATTTGTTCAAGAACTTACATAGATTTCAAGAACAAAAAAATAAAACTGAAGACAAAAACGATTCCAAAACAACAATGATAACTCATAGCTTGAGAAAGCTTGTGTTATCCACATAGATTTCAGATTTCTTGTATATGTGGGAAGTGAAACAACTTACAAGCACCACATTACAGTACATTCCTTCATTGTGGTGTACAATAGAGCACCTCTTTATTCACAAGAAGATGAAAAGATTCTCTGTTTTTTTTTTTTTTTGTCAAGCAAATACAAGAGTCCTGGATACAGGTTTCACCAAGAGTTCAACACATTGTTTGGCAGGCTTTCTTGCTGGCCAAAACCATTTCACATCATCCATTTTTATTTTTTTTTTGGTAAATAAAAAGAAAGGATTAACAAGTGCAACCACCACTACCACCAAGATTATGACACCAAATTATTGAATTTGCTTTCATTCATAACTTCCTTGATTGTGACAAATCGGCCTCGCTCTATTGAAAGCTGCGCTGCAACTCCCATAGCAACTGAAACCAACCCATCGTGTAGATCCACGGCAGGAGCTTTTATGCCTTTAGCTCTAATTGCTGACATAAAATTAAGATGCTCCAAATAGCTAGAACCATGATGTAGTCCCTCATATCTGATAAGAAAATTAAATGGATAAGCTTGTTGCTAGGGAGTGCCAGGAGAGAGAAAATTCTCTGAACACACTAGAGACTGGGACCAAAAAGACACAGAAAGAAAAAAGTTTTCCCCACTTGATTCGGTCATCCTCGGCTTTTAGGGTTTGGACATCATCTCTTCCCTCTAGTCGAGTGCCCAAACGCACAATACTCTCAGGAACAAAGGCCTCTCCCTGTTAAAGCAACTCAAAATTCAAATCAAGACAACCCCAACAAAAAGAAAGAAGATGCATAGTTAAAAGCAATAGAGGAATATCAGTGTGGCAATTATGTGTTGGACAAAATTGTGACAATAGCAGGATTTTTTTATCACATTTTCACATCTATTTATATTTGATCAGCCTGAAATGCTTATGCTGACACACAACTGCAATGAGAGAGAGACTTAACCTTTCCAATGTCACCAACAACAGATATTTCTTGCTCATTTTTACTCCCTTCGGCAAACATACAAAGGTCGAGCATGCCTCGAGAACCATTCTCAAATTCGACAATAACATATGCATTGTCAATTATATCAGGCACCTGTATCCAATGCAAATAGGGAAGAATGAATCATGGGATTAAAACATAAAAAAATTATTGATGATTGTTGGTGTAAACACAATCTGAAACGACTTTCAAAACCTAAATTGCTTGTATTAGCCAACTTGATCTACCATTTTGGACCAACTTCCCAATCACCAACTGGCTTCTACAATTTTATTTCCCACCATGTACTAGTAAAATGTAACTATTTGCACTAGCGGGTCCAATATTATGACAAAAAAAATGATTACATACGATGTTCAAGGCACAAAAAATTTATTATTTAATTGGTTGGTTTTTTATTTTTATATCTATTTACTTATTTTATATATATATATATATTGAGGGGATAACTCACTTTGCCATCATAAATTTCATCCTTGTGATTAACATCAACACCTCCAGAGGCCATCACACAGACAGGATTTGCACCAGCAAACAGCCTCATCAGATCAAAAAAGTGGCAGCATTTCTCTACCAGAGTTCCTCCAAGAGAGAGAACATTGGGTGCATCACTTGGAATATTTTAAGGAATCAAAGTGAATGGAACATTCATTTTTTACATCTAAACGCAATTTTCTTCTCCTCATTGTTGTCTTTGGTGATCATCATACTTAAAAAGCAAGAGATAATTAGCCAGTAAAAATGAACAAATAGATAACTATTGCGGGTACCACACTGAAAAAGCTAAGGTCAAACCTCCTCTCTTTGTTCAGTAATTAGTTTCCAGAACTAATATTCAAGATCAACTAAACCATAATTCCCAAACTCTCAGACAGATTGTAACATATGGGATAAAATGGTTTCTCCTTTCTCAATTAAGCACAGGGGTTCAAATTATCAAATATCTTGACCAAATAAACCAACATCCCCAACTCCCAAGACAAAAATTATAAGAGGCAAGAGAAAAAGTTTTTTTTTTTTTTTTTCATTTCATTCTGCAATTATCTCAAGCCCCACACCCCTCCCTACCAACCCTTACAAATCAATTAAATTTTGGAGGGACTTACGTATAAGTTCGAATAGGTACACTTATCGTCCAATAGGTCCTATGAGAATTAATGGCGTTTTTCATCAAACACTTTTAAAAAATGTCACTAATTGTTAATTTTCAGCAACAATTTGAAAATGTCACTAATTATAAGTTTTAGCAATAGTTTAAAAAAATCGCCACAAAAAAAGGTCACTAATTTTTAATTTTTAATGACAGTTCGAAAAATTTATTGCAGAAAACGTCACTAATTGTAAGTTTTAACGATAATATATAAAACCGTGACAAAAAAAAGTCACTAATTGTCAAATTTTAGCGACACATGCAAAAAATCGTCACAAAAAATTATTTTTAGTGACGATTTTACTAGAACTTAATTTTAATAGGGCTTGATGAGAATTAAGTCCAACTATTAGGACCAACTGGTAGTTTACCCCTAAATTTTTAGTTTCCAAGTCAATAAGTCGTGACCAAGCAGCCTTGTGGTTGCAGGTTCAAGTCACGGGAATCAGTCTCTCCACAAAAAGTGGGGTAAGGCTGCTACCTCTCCTAGACCCTAATGTAAGCGGAAGCCTTGTGCACTGATTAGGCATTTTTTAGTTGCCATGTCAAATAAATATTTTCCAACATAACACACTAATCACAGTCAAGTAGAACTATGAATTCCACGAAATATTTACTTCAACTCTTTAGACTAAAGGTCAGAAGCAAGTCCATTGACATGATAACCAAAAGTGTACTTGCATATTGTTCAAGACTGATTTTATAGCACTCATAAAACCTGAATTTCATGAAGCCATGACTGCTGAGCAAGAATATATATCTTATCCTTTCACTTGTTGGGATGAACTAAACAAGAAATAAACACTTATTTCATGTCTAACTCCTAAAGGGCTAAAGTTTTGTAGTACCACTTAAAAGTTGCAGAAGCTGCAGCTAGGCAAAGATAATATTGCTTGTAGTAAGTATCCAAACCAAGTGCTGATGGTTCCTTGGCCGCTAAATTTTTAACCAGCACAGCCCCCTTTAAGGTTGAAATGCAGTGTGAGCCTCACTGAAAATAGAAGAAGAAAGAAAGAAAGAAAATGCAAAAGAAGTTTGGTACTACCTTGGTGTCATCAAAGCAACCACGGGCCATTATGACCTGCAAAAGTTAGAACACATCCACAGATCATAAATCTAGACTTTAGACATTTAAATGCAAATATCGTATGTAAACACACGCTGAGAGAAACACATATGAGCACACACAAACACAGAGAGCTCACCTTCTTAATTGATGAATAAAATCTGTCCACCAGTATTGAGACTCCAACCATTCCATCAGGTGCAAGCTTGCTAGGAGGAACGATAATCACCATTGGATCATAGAAATGCAGCAATGTCTTTGTGTTCTGATATGAACTGCTAGTTTCAATGTATTGAGAAAGATGGAGCGAAGCTGACCTCAAGTCAAAGGCAGCCACTCCAACCTGCACGTAAAATTGGTTGTTGGGCGTGATGAAATTCAAAGGTCATCACAAAACCAAATTGAGATATCAGAAACTCTATTATTGAGAAATGGTAATATAAAAAATAAATAATAAATAATAAAAAATAAAAAAAATTGTTTGGTATACACAAATGTTTTAAAAATAAATGAAAATTATATATATATATATATATATATATATGTGTGTGTTTGGTGAGTTGCTAGAGGTGGTCTTCGGCGGAAAGTAGCCAGATGTAGTGGCTAGAGGTGACAGCCGGACGGTGCCCATAATGTTGCTGGAGCTTGCTAACGCTATGTTTGATTGAGAAATTTGAGAAGGGAATTCAGGAAAAAATAAAAATAAATAAAAAGATAAGTGAAATGTGAATAAATATACCTACATTTCATCTAATTTTACACACATTTTTCCTTTCTCTTTCTCAAATTTTCCAACCAAACATAACATAACGGGTCGCACAAAAAATTACTAGTGGTGGGTGGTGGGGCGGAAAGAGAAAACAGGTGAAAGCACTCACTTTGTTTTCCAAAACTTTTATAATCAATAGCAATTTTTGATAACAAAAACAATATACCAAACAAACTTTTATTCAGTTTACAAAAAATACAAAAATAAATAACAGAAAACAAAAAGGGTAGCAAACAACGTTAGGGTTTGGGGGTGTATATATACATATCGGGATAATATGTAGTTGCACGCAATCAGCAGTGTTGTTGAGGGACTGCAATAAGCCTAACACTATAGTAATGTCCGGTTTGGTGCAACTTATGGGGCTTTTCCCATATTAAGCCTATTTTGTATTTTAATTCTCAAACTAGGTTTAGTTTGGACGGAATTCTCAAATTAGGCTAAAGCGCTATTACAAATCGTGCTTTCACTGTTTGGAGCATAAAATTTAATCAATAGTGAAAGCGCTATTACAAAACGCATTTTTAATTAAGCAAACGCTATTACAAAACGCGCTTTCACTGTGCATAGGAAGAAGAAAACGCGGTTCCAAACCACGCTTTTACTGTGCATATCTGTTTTCTTAAGAAAACGTTTAAAATATATTAAAATGTAATCAAAATAAATTTTGAGTTCTTTGCAGCTCAAATGGTAGTGCATTGGTTTTGCCACGCCTCTTCACAAGTTCAAACCACATGCACAGCAACTCCAACCAATTGCTATACAAAATGAAATTCAACTTCTTTTTTTTTTTTCCTTCCACTCACTCTATACTTTATATATTTATTATGCAATTTTTTTATCAAAAAAAGTAAAATGTTTGTTTGGTTAAATATTTTAAAAAATTAAAAATAAACAATTTATTTATTTAAAAAATTAAATAAACAATTTATTTATTTTTAAAGAATTATATAAAGTAGTATACTATTTATACTATCATCACATCACACGTATAAATAGTATACTCACTTAGACGTATTATACTATCATCACATCGCACGTATACTACTTTTTTCTCGAGCGTAAATTATCCCGCTCGAGCTGACTTAAAAACAGAACAAAATACTGGGAGCACGATTTCCACGCTCGAGCGCCAGTTACCCCGCTCGAGCGTGAGTTCAAAATCTGGAAATTCCAGATTCGAACCTCAAGCTCAAAACCAAGTTTTAAAACATAAATTTCGATCCTCTTGGGCCAATTTTCCAGAAAACATCCCAAAACTCATAGTTTAACATGATTCCAAAGCTCAATTGTAAAATCAAAGCCCAAGAG